GAAGACAAAATGTCTAGTTCTTCATCTCTTTGGTTCTCAACCCACTGAAATGACTGCATTGCAGATTTTCCTAAGATGGTTCAGGACTAGCTTGGGACGGGATTTATTCATAGACAAGACCTGAATTGTCCTCTCCCCTAACACTTCGATCCCTGTTGGTTGACCCCAAAGCTTCCAGACCTCAGATCAGGGCTACTGATTCTGAGGAGAGCTTTGTGAGCTGTGGCGTACTGCCCTGAACTGGAGATCACATCATGGCCTTGGGAATTGCTTGCAGTTAAAAGCTGGACCCTGGCGGCTCATGCCCGTAATCTTAGCTACTCAGAAGGCTGAGATCGGAGGATCTTGGTTAAAAACCAGTCCAGGCAGGAAAGTTCCTGAGACTCTTAGTGCCAAATAACCACTCAAAAGCAGAAAGAGAAGGTGTGGCTCCAATGGTAGAGCACCAAGCTTGTGCAAAAAAATCTCAGGACCAGATCTTGCCTGAAAGACAAAAAGGAAGAGAAACCTAAAACCAAAACAGACATTCACATTCTGCTAAACAGACATTCAGCATATGTTGTCTTGGATTTAGTTTTTTACTTCTACCTGGCCTGGGAAAGGATGGGTCTGTATAGTGTGTTTATATGTATATACAATGGGTGATCAGGGACACGGGGGTTTGTAACAGAACCAGATGTGTATGTGTGTGTATAGTATCTATTTTTATTTTTGTGACAGTCCTAGGGCTTGAATTCAGTGCTGGGCATTTTCCCTAAGCTTCTTTAGCTCAAGGTTGGTGCTCTACCACTTAAGCCTCAGCTCTACTTCCAGCTTTTTTGCTACTTGATTGGAGACGAGTCTTATGAACTTTCCTTCCTAGGCTGCCTCCAAACTGTGATCCTTATATCTCAGCTTCTTGAATAGCTAGGATTACAGTATGAGCCACTGGTGCCCAGCTACATTAGGTATAGTTTCAAAAAGAAATTCAAAAGAGCCAGGCCCTGGTGGCTCACACCTGTAATCCTAACTACACAGGAGGCTGAGATCTAGATGGAATATCCTACTTTAAAGCCAGGCTGGGCAGACACATTCTTGAGACTCTTACCTCAAGGTGTGGAGGTGTGGCTCAAGTGGTAAAGTACCAGCCTTGAACAAACACACCAAGTAGAGAGCTCTAGGCCCTGATTTCAAGCCATAAAAATACCCCCCCCACTCTCTCTCTCTCTCTCTCTCACACGCACACACACACACACATGTGAGATGAATTAAAAAGACAAAGATCTCCAAACCAAGGAACTCTAAATAATTTAGTACACACACAGGGTGTGCTCTGAGTACTTATTTATTACAATTGTCACAACCCAACAAAGAAAATGTTCCCATCTTTTCATGTATTATAGATAAGGAAAACTGAGATTCAGCGACAATAAGATTCTTAAGAGGGAAGCCAGAATTCAGGCTGGCTGGTTCTAGAAGTTGTGTGTGTGTGTGTGTGTGTGTGTACTAGGGCTTACATTCTCTCTTAGCTTTTTCACTCAAGGTTAATGTTCAACCACTTAGACCACTGCTCCACTTGTGACTTTTTTCTGATTAACTGAACTATAGTCTTTTGGGTTTGTCTGCCTAAGCTGGCTTTTATCTCAGATCTCAGCCTCTCAAGTATCTAGGATCACAGGTGTAAGCCATTGGTGACCAGTGCTTCTTTAGTTTCCTAAAATTTGGGCTTTGGAATGCTCTCCTTTCTGCTCTCATGCCAATGGATGCTATTTTGATCTCTTTCCTATACATGGTATCGTAGAGACAGGTTTTCTGAGAGGCCTGAAACTCTCAGACTTCAAAGTCTGGGAGTTTCTTCCATAACTGACAGTGTAAACTTTAAATCAGAGGTTTACTTTGCAGTTTCTCTATTTTATTTATTTTTCTCTCCCATAACAAATACTTGAAGGCAACCATTCCTGCATTTCAATACAGATCTTTTTTTTATCAGGCTGGTGTTATCTGAACAAAGAACTGCGTGATTCTGCCATCCCATTAATACGGACTGAGGCTTTTTTGACACAGAAGATACTTTAAAGCCGGCTGCCGGTGGCTCACCACCTCTGTAATCCTAGCTACTAAAGAGGCTGAGATCTGACCATCATGGTTCAAAGCCAGCCTGGGCAGAAAAGTCCATGAGACTCATTTCCAGTTAACCACCTGAAAACCAGAAGGGACACTGTGGCTCAAGTGGTAGAGTGCTGGCCTTGAGCTGAAGAGCTCAGGGACAGTAGTACCTAGACCCAGAGTTCAAGCCCCATGATTGACCAAAAAAAAAAAAGGAAGAAAAAAAGAAAGAGAGAAAGAGAAAAAGAAAGAAAAAGAAGATACTTCAAGACATCTTGACCAAATGCTCTCCCAGCTTCCTATAATCCTGCCCTTCTGTGATCTGGGGCTTCTGCAATTGTGTTAAGCACACACCCCAAATCTTCTCCACTCCTACGCATATGCTCACCATACACATGTTCAGGGGAAATCTCATTATTTATCTGTGTACTTACAAACATACCCTTTTCTTCCAAGGAACTGTTTTAGAAGTTGATTCAATGGGTTTTGAAGTGGTTTGTCCACTCCTGCTTATTCTCTCACTTGACAAGTTAATCCCTTCTTCCTCTGATCAAATAACTGAACCTGGTGGTTCTTTCTACCATTTCTACTAGGTATAAACAAACACTTCTAGAAGTGGAGACCCAAGGCAGCAATTCCCACATTCCAGATACCATTTGGATTTGTGTCTGTGTCTGTGTGTGTGCGCGTGTGTGTGCACACGTGTGCGCCTGTAGTGGGGCATGAATTCAAGGCCTCATGCTCTTGCTTAGTTTTTTGCTCAAGGCTGGCACTGAAGAAAACAGCTTCACTTCTTACTTTTTTGCTGGACAAATTGGAGAGAAGAGTTTCTTGAATTTGGCTGGCTTTAAACTGGAATCCTCAGCTCTCAGCCTCCTGAGTGGTTATAGGCACTGAGCCATTTAAAATTTTTGCATGGAACAGCCCTCTGGAACTCTTAACACAGATAAATGAGAAGGCTAGCTAGGTGACCTAGCTATTCAGGTGGCTGAGATCTCAGGATTGTGGCTCAAAGCCAGCCTGAGCAGGAAAATCCATGAGACTCTTGTCCAATTAACCAGCAAAAAGCTGGAATTGATTGGAGCTGTGACTCAAGTGATAGAGCACTACCCTTGAGCAAAAAAGCTCAGCAACGGTGCCCAGACCCTGAGTTCAAGCCCTAGGACTGGCACAAAACAATCAAAGCACAACAACAACAACAAAAACTACAGACACTAAAAACAAAGAAGACAAAATAAAACAAAATACAGCAATAATTAGACACACACCACTTATCTGGAGGAATAAATTGTACATGATTATTGAAAAGAGATAAATTCTCCTATGTACAAAAAAACCTGGCGTCTGAATACATTTATTTTGACCTGGATTATTAGTAACCTAAGTTGTCTGTACTGAAAATTTCTTTCCAATCCAGGGGCTTTGGGCACTGTCTCTGAGCTTCTTTTGCTCAAGGCTGGCACTCTACCACTTGAGCCACAGTGCCATTTCCAGCTTTTTCTGTTTATGTGGTACTGAAGAATCAAACCCAGGGACTTATGCATGCTAGGCAAACACTCTACCACTAAGCCACATTTTTTTAAAGTTGAAAACATTTTTAAAGTTTCAAATAAAGACGGAAGTGCACATGTAAACTAGAAATGGGAATTTATTTTTAGATTTTTTTTAACAGCCTGAAGGAGCAGGTTTTTTTCCTTCTCTTTACAAACTGTCAAACTCTAAGACTTGAACTCATGGGCTTGCACTCTCATTTGGCTTTTTCATTCAAGGTTGGTGTTCTACCAGTTGCCACTTTCAGTACTGGGAAACTTTAAAGAAACAAAATGTAACAGAATTGGAGTTGGGAGAACTGATTATTCATGAGGTTTTAATCCTAGCCTGGCTGGAATAGTATTTAACTCAGGCTTGCTTCTCTGGGTGATGACAAAATGCTGCATCTCATTTTTTTTATGGGGCCTGACATCTTACATTCTTGTTGATGTGACTTCCTTCTCTTGAGTTTCCTAAACTTAGATTAATGACTTGAGCTAAATGCTGGTGGCTCACTGTGATCCTAGTTACTCAGGCGACTGAGATCTCAGGATCAAGGTTCAATGCCAGTCAAGATAAGAAAGTTTGAAAGGCTCTTATTTCCAGTTTACCACCAAAAAGTTGGAAGTGGTAAAGCACCAGCTTTGAGCAAAAAAGCTAAGGGACAGCACCCAGACCTGAGTGCAAGCCCAGTATTGGAATATGCAGTGCATGTGCACACATACACACACATGCGCACACACAGAGAGAAAAAGAAAAAAGAAATCCATTTCTTATCATCATGCGTGTTCTCTGATCTAAATTTTTTCAGCTCAAAAACAGAATAAAAAGGGATAAAATCAGGCTTAGGAAGTATACAGTTTTGCCATTATTACTTTCTTCTGGACAGTTCTGCAAATATTCCTGTTGTTTTGACACCACAGGATAATACATTCGTGGCTCAAAGGTGAAGGAGTATGCAGACAGATTGCTGTCAAAAGACAAGAAACTTAATTGGGTGCCAGTAAGTCAGCTTGTAATCTTAGTTATTCAGGAGACTGAGCTCTGAGAATTACAGTTCAATGCCAGCCCAGGCAGGAAAGTCCAAGAGACTGTGATCTCCAATTAACTAAAAAGCCACAAGTGGCTCAAGTGGTAGAGTTAGTTTTGAGCACAAAAGCTCAGAGACAGCACTCAGGCCCTGAGTTCAAGCCCCAGGACTGGCACACACTTAGACACAAAAAGACCTCTGGCTGTAATAGTAGAATAAATCCTGTTGCTAAAATATGATGGGTGACAAACTTGCAGGAGAGTCTATTAAGTTAAACCATTTGTGTTGTTCTCATTCTGTTTTCTGGATTCTGAAAGCCATGGAAATAGAAAAGGATAGAAACAAAGACGTGGGTTTTTTTTGTTTTGTTTTTTGAGGTTTCTTCAGCTGGGCAGTAGAAAAATAGCTGTTATCCTTTAGGACTTTTTTTCATAGCTGAGTACAGTGAGAGAACATTCTTCCATCTGTTTTCCTTTTCCTCAGTCTTTAAGGGAGTGGTAGGCTTTGGCGGTCCGGTTGTTGACAAAGTCTGTCTTCTTAAACTGAGCCTTGGGAAGAAGCAGACATGTGAAAGGTGAGAAATGCTGGAGAAGGGGTGGTTCCATGTGTGTTCACAGGGTGAGGTCACTCCACCGCCTCTGGCACAAGCACTTACCTTCTTGTAGGCGTTGTGGAGATCCGTGTGGGCCCACAGGCCATACAGGAGGACAGAAGCAGCTTTGCTGGCCTTGTTGGGGGTGTGGCTGAAAGGAAAGATACCCTAGGATCAGTGAGGATGGGAAGGGGGCTCTGATCCCACCTTCTATCAGTCTCTGATTTTTGGTTGGTATGGGGATTTGAACTCAGGACCTGGTGATTGTTTGGCTAGTTTGCTTGGCCACCTCTCCAGTCTGTTTTTTTTTTTTTTGCTACTTATTTTGGAGTTTGGAGTCTTGTGGACTTTTCAGCTCCAACTGACTTTGAGCAGCAATCCTCAGGATTTCAGCCTAAGCAGCAGTTTAATCACTGGATTGTGGATGTAGGTTTTGTCCCAAGGGGGCTTGCAGAGCACAGAGGCCTTTGGAGGAGGGGGTGGTGGTGATGTGTTCACTCCACGCAGCACAGACCCCCCACTGCACAGCCAAACACACACTTGCTCACTAATATGAAGGTTAAGTCCATTGGCTTTGAAATTCATTTGAATGAGCTGCTGGTTACTTACCAGAGTAACTTGTGATATGTCAGAACAACCGGAGTTGGAGAAAGAAAACAATACTAAATTGTCTAGGGGTAAGGAATGGCCATAACAGAAAACAGGAATGTGGCTGACTCACTCACACTGGACTATCCTAGTCTCACCACCCAGGGAGTAGAAGGAGGAAGTGAGAGAGGAAATTGAGAGCAATATGTTAGGGTGTCATTCACAGCTCTCTGCTGTACCTGCTCCTTCTAGGCCAGTGTGTGGGTACAAGATAATAACGATGTGAATGAATTAAAGGGCATTTCATTCCCCTGTTCATAGGGCAGTGAATGAATTAAAGGGCATTTCATTCCCCTGTTCATAGGGCAGTGAATGCACTACCAAATGATAAAGTTTGGCTCTAGCTTGTCATTTTAGAAGAGCCTGAGCCTTGCTACTCAGGAGGCTGAGAGCTAAGGATCCTTGTTTGAAGCCATCCCGGGCAGGAAAGTCCATGAGATTCTTTTTTTTGGGGGGGGAGAGGGTCCGGTCGTGGGGCCTGAACTCTGGGCCTGGGCGCTGTCCCTCAGCTCTTCAGCTCAAGGCTAGCGCTCTACCACTTGAGCTACAGCGCCACTTCCGGCTTTTTTTTCTTTTTGCTTATGTGGTGCTGAGGAATCGAATGCAGGGCCTCAGGCATGCAAGGCAAGCGCTCTACCACTGAGCCATCTTCCCAGCCCCTCCATGAGATTCTTATATCTAATTGGCCACCAGAATGTCGGAAGTGGAGCTATGGCTCAAGATGGTAGAGCACTAGCCTTGAGTGAAAAAGCCAAGCAGAAGACTGAGACCCTGAGAACAAGCTTAGTCCCATTGCATACACACACACACACACACACACACACACACACAGAATGACTGATAATGTGGCTTGACTGATATAGCTCCTTCCCTTGACTGATCACCAAGGACCAAAACAGATAGCCTGGCCCAATGTTGTATCATATTTGTACCCATGCTGCCATGGTACTAAATGAAGGGACACTCAAAATTGTTTGATCCACACAGGAGTGGGGGTGGGGGACAAGAAAAGAGGAGACAGGGATGGGCAGAAGGACTTACGCATCATCTGAGCTAATGGCCATAATTTTCTGCAGACCCCCAGTGTTCAGGAGGTCCCGAGCATTCTGGTAACTGTTCTGGACTATATTGTTCAATGTGTAACAGGCAGAGGCTGTAGTTTCGATGAGAATGTCAGTACTCGGGACTGTGTCAGGAATTATGGAAACCAGGTCAGGGAGCGTTTCTTTGGCTACAAAATAAAGGAGAAATTCTCTATTAGAACCCAATATATATTGGATAAAGTGTACTTCAAAAGATACACAGAGGCTGGGAGATACACTGAGGATAGTGGTTCAAAGCCAGCATGGGCATGAAAGTCTGTGAGACTCTATCTCCAATTAACCACCAGAAAATTGGGAGTGAGCTATGTGGTTCAAAGTGTAGAGCACTAGCCTTGAGCGAAAAAGCTCAGGGACAGTGCCAAGGCCCTGAGTTCAAGCCTAGCAGACACATACACAAAAGATACCCAGTTGTTTAACAAACACAAGGAAAAATATAATGCACGTGTGTGCGTGTGTATGTGTGTATGTATTTCCACTTTCTGTTGGTTAACTGGAGGTAACAATCTCATTGACTTTCCTGCCCAAGCTGGTTTCGAACCAGAATCCTCAGATCTCATACTCCTGAGTAGCTTGGATTACAGGTATGAGCCATGACATGCAGACATTTTTAGTGACTTACCAATGTCATTCTGCAGAGAAAGATTCCGAGACAGATTCCTCAGCAGTGACACTGCAGTCTTCTTCACACTGGGATCCCCCATATACAGCATCTTCCTGATGTGCTGAAGGCCGTTTTCCTTCTGGACAACTGTCTGAGCTACCGAGACTGGCGTCTGTGTGAAATATACCATGTAAGTGTAATGCCATCTGGTTGCTGAGGAATGCTAAGTTTCCTGCAGGTTACCAGAGGTCCAAGAAGATATTTGAAGAGTTATAATGGCTCTTATCATTCTAGATATTCAGATGTGATCTGAGCTATAAGCTCTGATCCTCAGATCTCAGTCTCCTGTGAGACTCTTATATCCAATTAACCACCATAAAATGAGAAAGGAAACTGTGGCTCAAGTGGTAGGGTACTAGCCTGCTTTGAATAAAAAAAGCTTAGAGACGGTGCCCAGGCCCTAAATTCAAGTCCCAAGATTGGTGTAAACACACACACACAAGAAAACAAAAACCTACCACTGAGATTGTACCAGTCTATAGATATTTTCTTTGTAAATTAATTTGTTTCTATACTAAGCCCAATTTATTCTGAAAGATACTGAACTTTTGAAGAGTGATTGACAGTTTGTCCACTGTGCAAGTTGCTGGCTGAGTTTGAGCTCCTCTACAGGCAACTTAAAATTGGTCTAGTCACCTTGGGTGGGGGGAAGAAGGAATAGGAGTTGTGTCTGAGTATTTGTGTGTGTTTGTGTTCAGGTACTAGAGCCTGAACTCAGGATCTTGTGTGTGCTCTTCTATAGATTTTCTTGCTGTGACTGGCTTTGAAGTGTGGTCCTTAGATCTCAGCCTCCTGAGTAGCTAGGATTATAGGCGTGAGCCACTAACACTTGGCTGATGATTTAAATTTTTTTTTTTTTTTTTTTTTTTGCCAGTCGTGGGGCCTGAACTCTGGGCCTGGGCACTGTCCCTCAGCTCTTCAGCTCAAGGCTAGTGCTCTACCACTTGAGCCACAGCGCCACTTCCAGCTTTGTCTGCTTATGTGGTGCTGAGGAATCAAACCTAGGGCCTCATGCATGCAAGGCAAGCACTCTACCACTGAGCCACCTTCCCAGCCCCAGTGATTTATATTCTTAATCACAATGCAAAAACAGGACAAATTCTAAGACAGGAAAAAGTTTAGTTTTTCATGTAATGATTTTATTTAAAACAGAGCAAGCTTCTGTGTACCTGTATTTATATTACAAGTAAATATGAACTGGGTGCTAGTGGCTCATGCCTGTAATCCTAGCTATTTAGGAGACTGAGATCTGATGAGTGCAGTTCAAAGTCAGCCCAGGCAGGGAAGTCTGTGAGACTCTTATCTCTAATTAATTATCAGAAAACTGAAAGTGGTGCTGTGGCTTAAAGTGGTAGAGCACTAGCCTTGAGCACAAAGCAACTCAGGGACAGAGCCCAGATTCTGAGTTCAAGCCCTAGGACCAGAAAAAAAAAAAAGTAAATAGAGTTTCTAAAGAAATGAACACTACTTTTTTTTTTTTTTCTGTGAGAGTGCTTTTCTCTGTGGGGATAGATAGTTGAAGATTGGCTAGACAATGAACTCTTCCCCCGCCACCCCCAGTCCTGGGGCTTGAACTCAGGGCCTAGGTGCTGTCCTTGAGCTTTTGTGCTCAAGACTAGCACTCTACTAATTGAGCCACGGCTTCACTTCTGGCCTTTTAATGGTGAGTCTCATGGACTTTCTTGCCTGGACTGACTTTGAACTGTGATCCTCAAAACTCAGCCTTCTAATTATTTAAGAGTTGCAGGTGTTAGCCACCAGCACCTGGCTCATGACAATGAACTTTGGAGGAGTTAGTTTAGTCTAATCATCTTATGATCACGGCAAGGAGTTTTAACATCGGTTTGAATAACTATAGAATTCCCAAGTACATCACATGACACACTGAGCTCTCCACGCTCTGGTTGAGTTTCTGGGGGGAAGCACAGAAGGCCTTTCTAGCTCTGTACTACAGTAGCCATCTATTGTTTCTGCCTGCCTACCATTGAGTCTTTCTTCTTTCATTAAGAACACTTGGATTTCTTATTAACAAACCTTTCCTTCACCATCTCAGTCCATGAAATCCCACAGTCACTGAACCTCACCCATTCAAACTAATTCCCTTGGTTTTTGTGTTGTGTTGTGTGTGTCTGTGTGTTTATGTGTGTACGCACACACCAGTAATGGGGCTTGAACTCAATGCCTTGGCACTGTCCTTCAGCTTTTTTATTCAAGGTGGTGCTCTACCACTTGAGCCAAATCTCTATTTCTGGCTTTTTGCTAGTTAACTGAAGAAAAGAATCTCCCAGATTTTCTTTCCCCAGGCTGGATTGGAACTGCTATCCTCAGCTCTCAGCCTCCTGAGTAGCTAGGATTACAGGCCTGAACCAGCGGTACTTGGTGCAATGTCCTTATTTATTTTTCATTTGGTGCTGGTCTTGGGACTTGATCTCAGGGTTAGGACACTGTCCCTGAGCATTTTCTTGTTAAAGTCTAATGCTCTTCCTCTACCACCTGAGGGACAGCTCCATTTCCTATGTTCTGGTAGTTAAGAATCTCTCAGATTGTCATGCCACGGCTGGCTTCACATCGCCATCCTCAGATGTCAGCTTCCTGAGTAGCTGGGAGTACAGGCATGAGCTATCGGTGTCTGGTACAATGTCCTTATTCTAAAACATAGGAAAGTGTTCATGATACTCACAGGGCCGCTTCCTGCTGTGAGATTCTGGAGGGCTCCTAATGATGCTTCCTGTGTGTAGTTGCGGACACTCTTGGCGATCAAGGACAGATACATCCGAATGACGATCGAGTGCCACAGCCACTCCATGCCCTTTGGGTTGCTCTTTTCCTCAGGCATTGGCACATCCTGGCATTGCTAATCACACACAAGGGAATTCAGAATTAATGCAGTCAATTAGCTACATTCTTGCATCTATACCAATTATAGTCTAGAAATGCTCATTGATATAGTGAAAAGTCCTTGAAATAGATTTAAAAGGCACACACACATGCGTGCATGCACAACCACACACACACACACACACACACACACACATTCCCAATTCCTTAACTTTTGGCCCACATTAGTTCTGCCTAACATCCCCCGATCCCAGTTTCTACAAACAAGTTAACATTTCACACTGAGAAGGACATTGAGAGAACTGAGCATGGACAGGTCTTTCTATAATGGTTTTCAGGCTTCATGGGATGAGTCACCTCCACTCTGAAGATAAGACGCACAGGCCTGTCTGCTCAGGCCTGGGAGGTCGTCCTGGATAGCATCGGGTTCTAAATTTATCCATTGCCCTTCAATGCTACTAAGAAAAATGGGCTGTTCACATTCTTCAGTTCTTAGGTTGTAGGAACATAAATACATATTCTTTCCTATGTGGTTTGCTCTCAGTATTCAAGTTGCTTTTAGAAGGCCCAAAGCCAATGCCTTGCCATTAAAACACTGTAAGGATGGTTGCCCACACTGCACTGTGTAGAGTGAACTTACTTCTGAACCCACAGCTGACTGAGCAATGCGGCTTCATGGTCAGGACAGCAAACCTGGAGTCACTCTGCCTGGGACTGAGTTCACGTTTCTCCTTTCCCTTCTTCCCTTCCCTTATCTCTTCCCTCCTTCCCTTTCTTTTGTGTCCTGGTACTAGGGCTTCAACTCAGGATCTGGTGCTCTCACTTGGCTTTTTCACTTCAGGCTGGTGTTCTACCAACTGAGCCACACCTTCATGACTCGCTTTTTGCTGGCTAGAGATAAAGAGTCTCACAGACTTTTTCTGTCGAGGCTGGCTTTGAACCATGATCCTCAGATTTCAGCCTACTGAGTAGCTGGGATTACAGGTGTGAGCCACTGGTGCTCAAATTAAGCCATTCACTTTCCTGAATCTGTTTCCTCACAGTAAACAAACAAAGGAAAAAAACACATAATCTCATAGGAATGATGAAAGGGCCACAGGAATTGAAAATAGTATGTAATGTACACTAAGTGCTTGGAAACACACAGACATGCACATGCATTCTCTCTTTCTCCACCTCCTTGCAAAGGACTTTCTAATATACCTCTTTAACCTTCCTGCTTCGATTGCCAAAACACCCAATACTTTTGTTGTTGTCGGTCTGGATGTTCCGGTTCTGAATATAGATACTCTGGGAATATCTCTCCGGGAGCTCTGCCTCCAGCTGGTAGGAAAGGTTATGAAGAATGCATACGCAGTTCTCTGTGGCCTGAGGAAACAGATGGGACACTGAGATACAGACACAGACACCCCTCCCAAATGGATGTGCGTGGACTATGAGATGCCCAGGGTAAATGAACTAGTGAGTGAAGTTGGAAAGACTAAGAGTAGATCATGAATGGTCCTAAGTATTAATGTTAAAAACTAGAGGCTAATTTTCTTTTTTAAAATTTTTTTTCCCTTTTATTTCTGTGCCTGTATTGTGGCTTGAATTCACTGCCTCTTACTCTCACTTGGTTTTTTTCTTTGATCAAGGCTGTGGGACAACTTGATCCATACCTCCACTTCTGTCTTTTGTTGGTTAATGAGAGTCACATGGACTTTCCTGCCCAGGTTGCTGGGCTTCAAACCATCAGAGTGTGAGCCACCAGCACCTGGCTAGAGGTTGAATTCCATTCCTCTCCCCTTCCCTCCCCTCTGCTTCCCCCTCCCATCCCCTCCCTTCTTTTCCCTTCCCTGCCCCTCTCCTTTCCTTCTTCTCTTTCCTTCCCTCCCTTCCTCCACCCCTGCCTTCCCTTTCCTCCTCCCTGCTTTTTTCTTTCTTTTTTTTTGTCAGTAGTAGGGCTTGAACTCTGGACCTGGGTGCTGTCCCTGAGCTCTTCAGCTCAAGGTGAGCACTCTACCACTTGAGCCACAGTGCCATTTCTGGTTTTCTGGTGGTTAATTGGAGAAAGAGTCTCACAGACTTTCCTGCCTGGGCTTTGAACCGTGATCCTCAGTTCTGAACCTTCTGAGTAGCTAGGATTACAAGTATGAACCACCGGTGCCAGACACTCTCTCTCTCCTCTCTCTCCTCTTCCTTCCTCCCCTCCTTTCTCTTTCTTACTCCCTCCCTTCCTTCCTGCCAGCACCTAAAGTCTGGGTGCTATCATGAATTAGTCTTGCTCAAGGCTGGCACTCTACCACTTGAGCCACAACTCCATTTTTAGCTTTTTGGCAGCTAATTGGAGATAAGAATCTCACAGGCTAGCTTTGAACTGTGATCCTCAGACGTAAGCCTCCTGAGTAGCTAGGATTACAGGCCTGAGCCACTGGCACCTGGCTTATAAAACTGAATTTCTTAAAAGGGAAGCCTTTCTAATTTACATTTTGTCTTTTGTATTACTGCTGGTTTGAACCCAGGACCTTATGCATGCTGAGCTACACCACCTCCCTCTATTATACTTTGTAAAGAATATGTTTAGAATGAGTTGACATTTTATTTCGTATTTTTTTAAAGCATTTATTTATTTGCTGGTCCTGGAGCTTAACTCTGGTTTTAGGTGCTGTCCCTGAGCTTTTGTGCTCAAGACTGGTGCTGTTTTACTACTTGAGCCACAGCTCCATTTCTGACTTTTTGTGGTTAATTGGAGAGAACACTTTTACAGACTTTCCTGCCGGGGCTGGCTTTGAACCACAATCCTCAGATCAGATCTCAGCCTTCTGAGTAGCTAGGATTACAGGCATGAGCCACTGGTGCCCAACTATTTTTATTTTGTCCAAGTCCAGGACCCAAACTCAGTATCTGATGCTGTTGCTCACTGGCTGGCACTCTACCACTTGAACCACAACTTCAAACCTGAGTCCAAATTATAGTCACCTAACGTAACAGCCACTCTATGCTAGAGTATAGAAGATAATACAATTTCTAGGGACTAAGCAGGGTTACTGTAATAGTCTCTGTGAAAGATGCCCTAACAGAAGCAGCCATGTCAGTGCTAAGGAAGAGTTGACAAACTGAAAGGCTTCTCAGAGGTAGATTGTACACTTGCTGTCCAGAGACTGTGGGGTGTGAGGGAAGGTAGGCGGGCAAAGATTTCCACCTTCTAGATGGCAATAATTACAGGTATTTATTTATTTAGCTAGCAGTGCTAGGCAATTACTCAACCACTAAACCCTAGATGGTGATAATTATTAAGGATTATGAGCTGGGCACCAATGGCTCACACTTATAATCCTAGTTACTCAGAGGCTGAGATCTGAGGATTGTGCTTTGAAGCCAGCCAGAGTAGGAAAGTCTATCAGAGTCTTATCTCAAATTAACTGCCAAAAAAGCCAGAAGTGGCTCAGGTGGTACAGCGCTAGCCTTGAGCAATTAAAAAAGCTCAGGGACAGTGGGCAGGTCTTGAGTTCAAGCTCCAGCACTATATAAAATATATATATATATATATAGTAGGCTGCTAGTGGCCCAGGCCTATGCCTGTTATCCTAGATTCTTAGGAGGCTGAGAGCTGAGGATCACAGTTCAAAGCCAGCCTGGTAAAATAAGGATCTCAGTTTAAAGCCAACCTGGTTAAATAAACCCAAGACTCTTATTTCCATTTAGCCAGCAAAAATCTGGGAGTAGAGGTGTGTCTCAAGTCACAGAGCACCAGCATTCAGTGAAGAATCTAAATAACAGTTTGAGGCACAGAGTTCAAGCCCCAGGTACTGACAGGGAAAAAAAAAATGCAGAAGTTGGATACCAGTGCCTCATACCTGCAATCCTTTCTACTCAGGAGGTTGAGATCTGTTTTTTTTTGGGGGGGGTGTCCGGTCATGGGGCCTGAACTCTGGGCCTGGGTGCTGTCCCTCAGCTCTTCACCTCAAGGCTAGCACTCTACCACTTGAGACACAGAACCACTTCCGGCTTTTTTCTTATGTGGTGCTGAGGAATCGAACCCAGGGCCTCGAGCATGCGAGGCAAGTGCTCTACCACTGAGCTACTTTCCCAGCCCCGAGGTTGAGATCTGAAGACCATAGTTTGAAGCCACCCTGGGCAAGAAAGTCCATGGGATT